GGAAATAGGACACCGGGGGGGCCAAACCGTGTAATAGTCACGAGAAAAATCGAGATATGCCCCAAACACCCCAGGAGGGTCCAAGGTAAGTTGAGGAGACTTACAGAACTAGCACGGGACTCTCGATCTGAGAACTAAATCAAAAAATGCACTTTTTTCACACTTAAGCTAGAAAATAAGCCATCGGGGGCCAAAATCGTGTAACAGTCACGAGAAGGCCCGAGGAACACGTCAAACACCCCAGGAGGGACCAATGTAAGTTGTGAAAACTTACGGAACTAGCACGGAACTCCCAGTTTGAAAACGTCCGAAACGGCACTTTTCTCACACCTAAGCTTGAAAATAGTCCATCGGGGGGCCAAAATCGTGTGACAGTCAAGAGAAGGTCCAAAAGAAAAAGGCAGGAAGTGTGTTGCAAGCTTGTGTGGATAGGGAAAGTGACTGCAGTGGTCGACCGAAATTGTAAATTATAATTTTTTTTCTTTTATTATTATTATTATTATTATTTTGTGACTTAGAACAATAGCTATATCTGCCACAACCGCAAGTCTGTGTCTCATTGTAAGGGGAAGATGATTCCAGTCTTAAATATATAACCAAAGAACCGTTGAAAACACAACCCATGGTCATTTCCTATAAGCTGGGAAGTTGGTGGTGCTCTCTTCCACCAGCTGGCTAAGGGGCATCGAAGATGCATTTCCTATAAGCTGGGAAGTTGGTGGTGCTCTCTTCCACCAGCTGGCTAAGGGGCACTGAAGATGCAACTTCTAGGAAGGAGAGGTGATGCCTTCCAATTGGTTTGTCCATTTGTTGAGAGATGAAGCAAATGTCTAGAACCAAGTGGATAGCAAAATGCAAAGACACCTCTTCTTTGCATACAGAGGGAGTTGCAAACACAAGACACGTAATATGAGTTGTATAGGACTAAAAGGAATAATGCATCGAGGGTATTTGCAAAAGTCAAAACGTTAGACTCATGAGTTGAGTACATCCGCGTTAGATTCAATTCACCTGTATGCTTGTGTTCTTTTATATAATAGGTATAGATTCATGTGCATATTGTTGTATAATGTTCATTTTTGTGAAAATGAAATTATAAAGTACAGATGAATTAAGCTTTTGTATAAATGTTCATGTTCATGTTATACTAGTTATTTTTGCAAAATGAAAAATGTAAGAAGTGGATTTTTTTGTTGAATTTCAGATTTGAAAAGTGTATTTTGATGTGAATATCTTGTTGATTAATTAATTTTGGAAAAGTTGTAAAAAATTGTTGTGTATATAAATTGGCAAAAATGAATTATTTGAATAGCTTGACATTGAATGTGGCTAGGTTCAAGACATGAGAAATATTAGATCACATTAGGTATTTTTCTTGAAATTTGTAAGTATCAAGAGCTTACTAATTTTGTGGGTTAGTGTTGACATTGTTTTATATCCTATGTAATTAAAACTGTGTTATTGGGTTTATTTCATGACTTTTTTTAATATTATGGGATTAAAAATGGTGAGGTTGATCAAGTATGAGATTTGGAGGAAATCATGTTGATTAAGTTGTTTGGTATAAAACAAAGTTTGAATTAAGAATATTATTCAAGTTAAAGTGATTTGGTATTTGATCACTAGTTCTACTAATTGAGTTATGTTATTATGATATTTTCATTCCTTAAGTTCATATATGAGATAATTGAATTGTTTGGTAATTTTTGAAGCGAAAAAAGAAAAATGATGATTTTAGCTAGTTTGGAGCTAATGGACAATTAATAAATTATTTATTTTATTGCTTTAGGTTAACTTGATGAAGTTAAAAATGAGGAATTGGTAAAAGGACACTTGTGTTATGTTTCGTAATTATAGTCAAAAGAGGATTTTGATATAATTAGCTAACTGATGGAAAATATTTTTGGTACGTGTTTGATTTTTAACTATGTAGTAACCGGGTATGTGTTTATTATACTTAGTTAATTGGCGGACTTGGTGCCAGTATTATTATTAATTTTACGGGTGAGCCCGGTTAGGCATGTACCTAGTATTATTGGGTCCAGTATAGGTAGGGGAGATAGTGGTACCAACTATCTGCGATATAGATTCTTGGACACTGCTTAGTTCAGAGGAGTAGTAACCTTGTGGTTGTGGATGGACTTTGTTTCTGATACACGACTCTAAGGGTGAGCCCTAAGTGTGGGTAGGTAGGAGTTCTACTAATTGAGTTATGTTATTATGATATTTTCATTCCTTAAGTTCATATATGAGATAATTGAATTGTTTGGTAATTTTTGAAGCGAAAAAAGAAAAATGATGATTTTAGCTAGTTTGGAGCTAATGGACAATTAATAAATTATTTATTTTATTGCTTTAGGTTAACTTGATGAAGTTAAAAATGAGGAATTGGTAAAAGGACACTTGTGTTATGTTTCGTAATTATAGTCAAAAGAGGATTTTGATATAATTAGCTAACTGTTGGAAAATATTTTTGGTACGTGTTTGATTTTTAACTATGTAGTAACCGGGTATGTGTTTATTATACTTAGTTAATTGGCGGACTTGGTGCCAGTATTATTATTAATTTTACGGGTGAGCCCGGTTAGGCATGTACCTAGTATTATTGGTCCAGTATAGGTAGGGGAGATAGTGGTACCAACTATCTGCGATATAGATTCCTGGACACTGCTTAGTTCAGAGGAGTAGTAACCTTGTGGTTGTGGATGGACTTTGTTTCTGATACACAACTCTAAGGGTGAGCCCTAAGTGTGGGTAGGCAGAACCTATTATTAATTTTCCGCTCGGACACGGTATTGGTGATAAGGTGGGTCATAGCCTTGAAGACAAGTATTGTACGCCTTGTTGGTGGTTATTATATTTTAAAGCTATTTATTTATTTAACTAGATAGAGTTAATTAAATAAAGTGAATTGAGGCCAGGTTTGATAGAGTTAATTAAATAAAGTGGAATTGAGGCCAGGTTAGATAGAGTTAATAAAGATGGGAAATTCTAACACTAGGTTAGCAAGTGTTAAAGTTGATTATTTATTTAAGTTAACAACAGTGAGTTACTTAAATTATTTTGATTTAAAGTGTTGGAATCTATTCATTTATTTAAGTTAACTAGAGTGACTAATTTAAATAATCGGACTTGTGATCCCATTGATAAAAGATGTATATGTGGTTATTATCTTTTGGATAAATTATTAATTATTTAAGTTAACTTGCGGGACTTAGTTAAATAAATGGGTCTTAAAGTGATTGAACAAGTAAATCTAAAAGTTGGGCATTTCATGTCATTTTTGTGGATATATGTTGTATCACCGTATCCGCATGTATTGTAAAGTAATTATATGAGATTGCTTGGTGAGCTAGTTGTTTGCTCACCCCCTGCCTATAAATGTGTACAGGAAATGTTTTCAGACTTGAGGATTAGCAACTGGTTGTATCAAGATGTAGGGATTATGTGATGATGAGCTGTAGCCTGTAGTGCTCTTATTTCCTTTTATTCAGTTTTGAACCGTATTTTTTGATTTGGCTGAGTGCCTTTTTCTTTAAAAATGGGCAATATCCATTTCATGGTTGCAAGTCCGTGGGGCATTGTATTTGAAAAGCGGCATGTATTTAATTTTTTTGTGTTATATAATGTATATTATGGAAAGCATGTAAGGAAGGTAAAATACAGAGAGTGGGTTTGTGGTTCCCATTGGTATTGTCACTTTCACTTTCAATTATATTATATTTTGAAAAAGTAAAGAATATTGTTAAATGAACAAGAATTAGTTTTCGCTTGATTAACCTTTGAAAATCTAGGGTGTCACACATTAGATAACAAAAGGGCCTCATCATTACATTTACATGACACGTCTTTCATTCTTTTAGTCAAGATAGAAAATTAAGGTCTTTTTAACAAAATTATTTTGATTGTGAAGTTTAGGGATATTGATATGAATTTTAAATAAATATTATAATATAAAAAATAAAATTACAGTGTAAGAAATTATAAGAGGCCCCATTTACATTTTTTTCATTGGGCCTCGAATCAGCGTGAGCCGCCTTTAGTTGTACTTTTTGTGAAGATTGAGTGCGATAGCTTTATTTTGCGGTCATCTGGGATGACTTTTTGGTCAAATATGGATTTTGTAAGTTGTTATGGAAATGAAAGGTGGTTTTTTTGTTTTTGTTTTCTTCTTTAACTGTATAGACAGTGTATTCAAAAAAATTTAAGTGTGTATTTTCTTTCTATTCTAATGCCATTATTAATTCATAGTTTCGTTCATCTTACTGCATCCTCGAGAATCCTAAATTTGACTTGAGAGTATGTTTTATTCTATTTTTACATTGAAGTACATGAAAATTATGGATTAAGATATCAGTGTCTTCTTGGGAATCGGGAAAGAGGATTTCTTTTTTCTTTTGGTATATAAAGTGGTTTTGATTGCTCATTTTTTCTATTAAATACAAGCCTAGAAGATGGGTTATTGTTTTCCTTGGTTATTTTCCCTTGAAATGTGCAGAAACCAGAAGACATTTCGGCCTAAGAAGAGGTAGGTGTCATTTAGGTTTACACATTTAAACAACAAATCATGACTCAAAAAGTCCCATTTCCTGTTACATTATGCATATTTTTTTGGACTCTGTAACATGCTTGATACTTCATACTGCAACTTAAAGCCATTGTTGTCTAATTGATTCTGAGTAAAATTCAGGATGACTTAAAGGTTTAGAATTATGTTTGATACTGACCTCCGATTATGCTTGGTCAGTGTTGGGAATGGTTTGTTTATTCTTTTGGATTCTATCTCTAGTTGTGTTGTTGAGATTCTTTTTTCTTTTTCTTGTTTGTCTTCAGAAGGATAACTCAATCCTTCTTGCTTGTATTCCCCCCTTGCATTCATTGTTAAATTCTCCTAGTTTATTATCCCTCAGAAAAAAAAAAAGAAAAGAATAACTCAATCCTTCTTGCTTGTATTCCCCCCTTGCATTCATTGTTAAATTCTCCTATAGTTTATTATCCCTCAGGAAAAAAAAAAAAAGGCCTAAACTGCCTAGAATTTAATTGAATGAAGAATCTAATACCTAATTTGCCTCAACTTTTTTAACTCTCTTGAAAGTAAACCATTTGTTTCAGAAATACAATTTTTTTATGCAATATATGCATATTTTTGTACATTGGTGTGCGTTCATATCCATGGTCATACATTTTTTTATCAATTGCAATTATTGTTAGCATATTTTTAATTTGATTTTTTGTGGCTGCAGCTGTTGACTTCTTCAATCAAGTGAACATTCTGTATGGCACTCTTACAGAATTCTGCACTGCATCAAGCTGTCCATTAATGACAGCAGGACCAAAGTATCTTTCTTCAGTCCTCCTAAGAATTGTCTTTCTTGTTTTATTGACGGAATGTTTGGTGTAGCTTTGCTTGATGTTAAGCTCTACAGGTGATATACTTGTGGGGAAAAAAAAGAAATGTTCTTGCGACACTCTTTTCTTTAATTAGTGCGACTCTCTCTCTCTCTTGGACTACAAAGACATGGAAAATAACTTTAAAACTGTTGGGATAGAAATTTTGGTTTCTTTGAAAGTTCCAAGTGCTCTGATTGTAACATTACATATTTTATTGTATTTGGAATTGCATATAATATTCTGCATTTACCACTAGAGGGATATTAAGTCTAAATGGTAAAAATGTTTTGGAAAGTCACTTGTATTAAGGGATGGGAATATATAGGATATTGTAACCAAAGATGGTATGGAATTAGTTGGTACAAGTTTATATGAAGGTATCTGCCGGTGCAAATCAAATTTAATTAATGAGGTTTAAAACCATGCCAACATGTCTAATGAATCAGATATCATGATAGGGAAAAGAAAGGGCCAAGAAAGGGCAAGGAAAAGGCCAAGAAAGTAGTCAGAGATCATTATGTGGAACTAATCAACAAAGTTTAGTTAATTGTTACTTATTGAAACATGCTAGTTAAGTTGATTGTCAGGATGATACAATTTCAGATCTGCTTTAAGCATGTACATTTGTTTATAATTAGATTATGTCTGAATTATGATGCATTCAAATTGCAAATCTTCAATTTTGCCTCCTCACAGATACGAGTATAGATGGGCTGATGGAGTTACTATAAAGAAACCCATAGAGGTGTCTGCTTCTAAATATGTAGAGTATTTGATGGACTGGATTGAGGCTCAGCTCGATGATAAATCATTTTTTCCTCAAAAGTGGGGTACGTGTTGTTTGCTTAATACAGTAAACATATGGTTTGTTCTTGTTTTAATCAAAAAAGGCCGTACTTTTTTTTAATCTTCTGTATATCCTGCAGGGGCATCATTTCCACCGAATTTTCAGGATGTTGTTAAGACAATATTCAAGCGATTGTTCCATGTGTATGCGCACATCTATCACACACATTTTGAGAAGATTGTGAGTCTAAAGGAAGAAGCTCATCTTAATACTTGTTTCAAGCATTTTGTTCTTTTTACATGGGTAAGTTATCCAACTTCATCCAAGTTTTAGATTGTTCAATCTCACAGTTCCTTTTCTACATTCAATTATAATTGTAAAATGGCCGAAATTCATTACATTGTCTTCCATTTATATGCTTACATAATTTTGTACCACAATTGGTTTGTCTATCGAGTAATTTAATTTCTAGATTTGGTAAAAATTGTTAGATAGTGGAAAGGGAGAGTTTGGCATGAAGGATTTTGGCTAAAATAAAAAAAAAAAAAGGCTAAAATAGTCAATAAGGTAAAATGTCACATCCTACACATCGATCATTCACTTTTTTTCTCACAACCATCTATTCAACTATAAAAAAAATCAAAAAATCATCCCACTATTCACGTAATTCCATCACATTTGTTTTCAAAATATTATACGGTCAGCCCAAAGCAGACAATGCTACCACTTTGGCCCCCCGAAAAATGAGTGGACTACTAGTCTACAAAAGGCCCCAATCTGAATTTGCAATGCCTAAATAAAAGACCCCCATAAAATTCAGTGAAAATTCAAAATTAATATATGACTGATGTGGTTAATTATTTAAAATCTACTTATTGCATATCTTTTCGAAAAAAAATCAAAAAATCATCCCAAACACAACTTTTTTTCATCTTATAAAATAGCTAAAAGCCAACTAAAATAGCCAAGTTCCCAAACGAGGCCTATATCCTCTTTTACCCACACTTGTTTTTGGTATATTTTACTAGGATGTTGATTGCAATGGCAAAATCAAATCTTTTTTGTTTTTTTTTTTATACCCTTGTGGTATGGGCTAATAGTATTTAACCTCCTATCTTTTAAAATTAGCCACATACCTTCTTCATGGTTTTGAACTACAATGTTGCTATTACATTTCCCGTCAAATGGATGAAAATTGTGGCATGCACCTATTTAGAGTGAGAAAAAAAGAAAAAAAGAAAAAAAAAATATTAGTTGAAGTCAATTTTTAATTTGTTAAGACCAAATTACTCTTATCTTCATTTTCTACCTTTGAACCCGCAACCTCCCCACCACCGCCTTCCTCTTTTTGGACCTTGCAGAGCGTCCTTACTTCCCAACCTCCCCTGCCACCCCTCTTCACCTCCCTACCCAACCTTCCTCACCTCTACCACCATACCTACCGGAAGGTTGTTAACATCGGGATCCTACATTAGATTGTTGGAGGAGTTCACATGATTGGATCCTAAAATCAAATTGAAGATCGTAAGATTCTATCGTAAAAGAAAAATTACGTATTAATTTAATTTAAATAAACATTTCTTAAAAAGTCTACACAAAATAAGCCTAAATTATACTAAAAGGAAGTGTAGATATTGTGAAAAATATAATATTATGTAAAGTGTAAATCTAATAGTATACAATAGAAAACTCGATGGGGAAAAGTTTTGCATTTCATCAAAAAAGAAGGTGACGAAGAAGAGTTTTATAATACAACACTTTGCAATCTACACAATGCATAAAAAGTGAAAGAAAAATATTTAACAAAATTGGATACAAAATAGATTGTGAACTTAAAAGAGTGGCTTGGCTGAATGACAAGGTTTGTTGTTAGCACTCTTATCTCTATTAAACACACACAACACACATTGACAAGGACATAAAAAGTATTGGTTGAGGAAGATTTGAAGAGTTGCTTTTATTTTATTTTATTTTTAATTTAGAAGTATAGGAATTATTGCAATATTAGAATATTATTTAGGATTTTATTATAGGAATTAACTATGTCTTGTTTTATTTTGGAAACTTTTAAATCAAGGTTTTCTATGTATTGAGGGTTATTTTGCTTGGAATATGAATTGAATTGAGAGTTCTTTAATATTGAGAATTAGAGTTTATTTTATTTCTTTGGGTGTGATTTGTTCCTATTCTATTACATTATTGCTCCAGTTATGTCTTATTGACTATGTGATGGGTGGTGCAGGAATTCCAGTTTATTGATAATGGGGAGCTTGCACCCCTGTACGAGCTTGTTGAGTCTATCTTACAGTTCTTTTTTTAAATTTATTTTGTATTGGGGAAACGCATTGTGAGCTTTTGTTTCGCATCTCATGCAGCCTTTTGAATTCTTCTCTATTTTTATATTTTTGTAATGGATGCAGTCTCCTGAGCTTCCGTTTGGTTTAGTTTGTATAAAGAGTTTTGAGTTTTGAATTATATTTTGAAAGATAAGTTGATAAAAAGAGTTTTGAAAATGATTTTGGGATATTTTTATTTTTATTATTATTATTATTTTTTTTTTAGTAGTTGAATAGATGGGTGTGAGACAATTTGATTGATTGATATATAGAATAGGAATATAATCGGTTCAGTACAGTTGGTATTTATGTAAAAAAAATTATCGAACTAATAATGTCGATTTTATTATTTTGAAAACCAATACAGATCACTTCTTTCATCAAATCGTACTAAGTTGAACCGATTAAAGCGATTCAGTTTGATTTAGTGTGGTTTAATCGGTCTAAGATCTTTTAAACTTGAGTCATTTTTAAATATAATTGTTGATCTATATAAAAACATTAAATTAGTTCTGGGCAAATTATCAAGAAATCTTCTTTGAAAAACATGTAGCCTATTTAGTCTCATAATCTTTTGTTTACACTCAAAAGTCTTGTAACGTTTTTCTTCTTCTCTGCCTTTCTTCTTTTCTACCTCTTTTGCTCTTTGTGATTTCTAGCAATCGTTGACGGGCAACCACATCTTCTTCTTCTCTTTCTCTTTCTGATATATAGTCACCGACGATTACCATCAATTGGGGTTCACCGACAACCATTGACTACCGAGACTCTTTACTTCACCCTCACCGACAGTGTAGAAGATATGTTTTTGACGAAGAAGATGAGTAGATTTACTTAAATCTGATGTAGATCTACATCAGATTTGAGTAGATCTAAATAAAAAAATAGTTACCTCTCTCATTCGATCTCTTAATTTTTCTACATTTTATATGTTATACACTTCTATTTTTCTATTTTAATGGGAAAAAAATTCAAGTTTTGAACAAGTTGTTTTTGAGTTTTAGTTACAGGTGGTGAAAATTATAAAATTTTGCAGTTTCAATTTGTTTTGATGCTGGAATGAATCATGGTTTAAAACTGCAAAATTTTGCAGTTTCATAATATATTTTTCAATTTGGTTAATAAGGATAAATGCCTAATAGATTTTTACTTTGAAATTGTAACATTTTATAGTTTCAAAGTTTGCTTTTCAATTTGATTAATATTGAAGATTATTTGCTTAAACGCTACAAAAATTGAAAAATAACATGTTTTTTTTTTTCCTATTGTTGCTATTTTTTGTTGTTACATTTTTTTTCCCTTTTTGGTTTATCAATATTTAGCACATTTTGTTACGTTTTTTCGCTCTAATTTCTTCATTTATTCTTTTTTCTTTTTCAGCAATATTTTGGACATTCCAGTGAGTCTCCAATGATGTTCTTAACGTCCAGCGAATGTTCTGGACATTCCGGCGACTTTCATTGACGTTCAAAACACTCCGGTGAACTTCCGGCAATACTTCGGCGACTTTCCGGTGATGTTGAACATTCCGACGAGTCTCCGATGACCGTCTGACAGAAATTCGACGGTAGTGGGATGGAACAGTGTCTGTAAATTAAAAAATAAAAAAATAATAAGATTTTTTGGTAATAATTAAAAATATATAGGACTAATTAGTGCAAATGTTTTGTTTTGGGATTAAATGAGTTTTGAACTTTGTATATGGAATTTATTGGTAAGTTCCCCATTACTTTTTGTCCACCATTTCAAACATATCTAATTCATCCATTTAATAAATACTTTTCAATTCCTACATTAAAAAATAAATAAATAAATAAAATTAAAAATACTAAGGTGTCAAGAATATTAGTTTTAGATTGTATATAACAAGAGTTTACAATTTTAGGTTATAAAGATGATAAAGTTAATTAATTAAGGTTATTAATTTATTATACTTATTAATATTATTATATTATTAGATTATATATATATATATTATATAAATACAATATATTATGAACCGGTCGCTTTCGATTTAGTTTAGTGCACAAAGTGCTTAAAGCGATATTGAATCGAAAATAAATAAAAAAGTCAAATTAAAAGCTGCACAAACGGATTAAAAAACAGACCAAATATAGCCGGTTCGATCTAGTTCAATCGGTTTGGTGATTTTTTTTTAATTTTTCTTACATCTCTAATTATTTTTGATAGTTGTTGTTTTGTTTAAGCATGATCGACATTGGTTTGCCGATTGTTGAGGTTTTGTTCGGTAATACAGTGTTGAATAGAAACATATAGTTCAGAAGATAGGTTCCAAACAAAACCTTTATTTTCAGCACTGTTCAACCGAACAAAACCATTCATTAAGACGTAAAAGGGTTTTTCCGGCGCCAAATGCACGCCGTGGATTCGATTTTACGACGCGCAAGGCAATGTCGTATTATGACTAGTCATGGAAAGTGTAACAACCCAAAAATTTAAGTTGTCTCTTAAATTTTATACTAGTATTATGGTTGTATGTGATGATATATTATTAAAAATAAAAATAAATAACAATAATAATAAATTCAGAATCTAATTTTGCATTGGATTATCAAATATAGGATTAATTAGGGATTATTATTTGTGGCCAAATTAATAGAAATATGGAATTATAAGATTAGTTTGGCAAAATTAAAGTTAAAGATAGTAAATAAATAAATATCTAAAATTATGCTAAATAATTAAAATAAATAAATAAATAACATTAGGGTTTTGTATATCAGATGGTAGGATTGTATGCACAAGGTGTATTATGTATATGGTTTAAGTTACATATGGTTTGGTTCATTTCTAATTTAGAACTGTGAACTCAAATCTGAAACTGATCTGAAAAGATCAATTCCCTAGTTTTCCAAACCAGAATCAAATCACAAATTCAAAAAATTAGTCAAAGCATATCGAATTGGACTAAACTGAACTGGACCGGCCCGAACCAGTTCGGATTATAAATTTTTCGAATTCCTTGACTCACAAGAAAAAGCATATCAAGTATTTGCTTATTTTTGTTGGCAAGTTATGTCTACTGCATTAGCTGACCAAGAAATGATTTATTTTTGTTGTCAAGTTGTAATGCTCCAACTTTTATTAATCGGATAATATTATCAATTTTCATATTAAGGTCCATTTATGAAATAATAAAATGCAGAAGCAAAACAAAATACATAGGATATTCAAGGTTCCCTCTCGCATAAATACAATGGTACAAGTTTAGTACGGATCATTACAAAATATGCCCTTAGGCTTACATTGAGAATTTCAAAAATGCAATAATTATAATAAAGAGAGTAATAACACATTGGCATTTTCACCAGTGAGTAACAAATCTCGAATCATCAGTAACCTAACTCCTTGAATTCTTGAACGAGACAACAAACTCCACACCTAAACAATGATTTAACGATTGAGATGAGCACAAGGTCCAGTAGGGATTTACAATGATGCAAAATAATGAGATCTATAGATATATGTGATTATGAATACTATCAGGTGATATTTAGATAAGTAACGTGCTCTTTTATATCCAAAATAAAACATACACAAATATATACTTTCATTTAAAAATAAATAAAAAGAAGAAAATATTCCACTTGATATTTCAAGGAAAAACTTATTTATTATCTTTTCAACTTATCATTAGCAATTTAAATGAAATGCTTCAATATCTCCTTTACTTTAGAAAGAAGTTTTAAACCAATCAATCACACACTCATACTAATCTTTAACCCAAAAACAATAATTTCACAATCAACTGTTATTACAATCAATAAAACACCAATTGTACATACCAACATCTACCATATAGACAAGCGATAGCATTCAATTCATTACAAAATTATCTCAATTACACACTTTCAATCTCCAGCACAATTTCACCATGGCACACATATCTACACAATCATGCAACCAAGTGACGAACACAACACAATTAACAACCGGCTTCGTTATGTCATTCCAACACAGTTTACTAAGCACTAATTTGGAAGGAAATCTGGAACTTACCTCAAAGTGCCACACTTTACCGGTGGCTAGCCGAAGGGAAAGCAGACCCTCCATATAGTCCAACAATCCACACGCTTTATTGGGCACAAATCGGAAGGAAAGAGAAACCTCTGTTAATACACTACGTTTTACCGGTCACAAGTTGGAAGGAAACAGACCGTCTTTTTAAAACTTTAATCCATCAACTCATCATATACATCATCATTTCGATTTGAAAAATTAAATCAACAGCATGTCACATGTATAACCCATTCTACAACAATCAACATTTCCTAGAATTAGACCAACAATCTTATTATCTCATTCAATTTACCAATTCCGCTAACGACCTTCACAACATGAGCCATTTCTACAACAAACATTTTCTTTCTTTCTCAATTCACAAATATTACACAACTCTAAAATCATGAGATTAACCACTCAACTCATTTAACTACTACAAAATCATAAATACATCACACTTTTTTATGTGTGATGTATGTTATTTAATCACACGTTTCAAGTTTTATCAAAGTGTGATCTTTGGAATCATTTCGATTTGTAAAATTAAATCAACAAATCATCGCGCGTACAACTCATTCTACAACAATCAACACTTCCTAGAATTAGACCAACAATCTTATTATCTCATGCATTTCATAATTCAATTTACCAATTCCGCTACCAACCTTCACAACATGAGCCACTTCTACAGCAAACATTTTCTTTCTTTCTCAATTCACAAATATTACATTACTCTAAAATCATGAGATTAACCACTTAACTCATTTAACTACTACAAATTATAAATACATCACACTTTTTTATGTGTGATGCTATTTAATCACACAATTCAAGTTTTGTCAAAGTGTGATCTTCGAGAGTGTAACACGTTTTGAATGTCTTTAAAAGATGATTCCATCACACGTTTTGTGTGTGATTAATAGTGAGATAAGATCACATATTATATGCATTTCTCATCACAGTTAATGAGTGTGATAAAAAAAAGGGTTCAACATAATCAATATTATTTTTGTACGCGCATTTGAAGAATATAATACACACTATATATATATCATTTGAATCACAACCACATATTGAATGAAATAACATCATATATTTCATAAATGAAAATTGAATGTTCAAAAGTATATACAAAGGAATTAATAACAAGTTTTTAACTGTGGTTACATGCATTAAAAAAAACCCGAAGAACAAAGTTCTTGAATTCTTTGACCATATTTTGCATCTCTCTAAGCAATTTCTGACTTGAAAAATGAAAACACAAATTAATTAAGTGACCGCTAGCACCATATGAATAAATTTACTATTTGTAGAGACTGTTCTAGTCTTAGAAAAGATAAAGTCGGACATTTTCTCATCACACCGACTCTTCATCTCCTGCATCAACAGAAAATGAAGAACCACTTTGACTGTTACTAGTATAAAATGTTTGGATTACCATATAGATATGACATATACGTAGAATCAACAAATCCAAAATGAAAATCTTCAGCGCTTGGCCAAATATTTTAAAGTCATAAAACCAAAATAAAAGCCAACTATTATTTAAATATAGTAAATAAAAGTCAACTATTTTAAAGTCATAAAACCAAATATACATGGAATCCACAAATCCAAAATGAAATCTTGAAGTAATTGTGTATTCGTTACCAACTAAATAAATAGTTTATTAGCAATTTAAAGAACGAAAGTTATATCATATTTCTATGTTGGATTTCAACTCATATTGTTTAAGACGAAATTAATCCATTCAACTCGCACTTCATCAAGTTCGGTTTCTGTGTAAGTCCTTTTTTCATTGAATTGCAAGAGGTTATTTACAAACAATTAGATAATGAAGATGATGTACAAGTATCATGAATATAAATATAATAATAATAGTTGAAATTTATCTCACATTTTGTTTTTTTGGATGCTTTGATCTCTAATGAGGTCTTTCATATATCTCATTACATAAAACCCGCATTCCACATTTGTGGGTTGTTGCGGAAAGTACATGAAAAGCATTTTCATTATTATTAGAAACTACATATAAAGTGTTATGATCAAGCTAAACAACCATTACCATAAATATAAGTATGACAAAATTAAAGAAAATGATATTGACTACGTGAACTACTTTCCACACTAGATTGGTCCTCCCCCTTTGGCATTTAAAGAAAATGGCATTCAAAGCAAATTATAAGGCACTTATCTTCAATATACAAAAGCTTTTAAGACCAACTTCATAAATGATCTTTTTGCTTCATCTTAACAACTTAACAAGCTTCATTTCAATCAAGCCAGTGCTGATACGATATAGGATATATATAATTTTGATTGCCCTTGATATCTTGCCCTAGACCCACTCCATCTCAGAATATTTAATTATGGAGGACCCTTGAACTAAACAATGATTTCCAACCTACTATTTTTGCTGCTTAGCCCAAAATGATTTCTAAAATCCCAAGGGCTCAGCACTTTCACAACCTAGATTCGGATAAATTGTCATAGAAAATGAAGGCTCTAAACAACAAAATGCATGCCAACAATATTAAAATTAAATACTGATGTGCAACTGAACCTCAATTTAGAACCTCCTATCTTACATGTAATAGGCAGATGATAAACCAACTCATCCTCTTAACAGAGGAATATATTTTAAAATACAAGTAGTGATCTAGTTTAGTTATCTCATGAAACACAAACATCCAAACAAAGTGTAGAACCTTGCTAAAATTGTATAAAAAAAAAGCATTTTCATTTCTTCATAAAGACAATTAAAATGAAGATTGATAATCTTTTAAAGCGAGAACAAGCACTTGCCTCTTGGCATCCCAAACTTGAAAAGGAACATCCAACGAGTCAATGAAATTAAGGGAAATGAAGTATTTTTTCTAAGATGGTTCTGAATTACGACAATCTTAGATGATTATGTTGGGAAACATGACTGCTGAAACTAATAGTGTTTTGTGATAGTATTTGTTCACTGTATCACAGATAACAAGGCAAGCATGATGCATCTCACAGAAAGGGAAACATAAAGATAGGTATCAGCATTACATTCATATATCAACATTACATATACAAAACAAAAATATTGTAAGGAAAGAGATCTTACCAATCATCATTTGAACCGGCAGGAGTAGCATAAAGTGCACCAGACCTTTTCCAATTCTCTAACAGCTTCTTGTTGTTATGACTCTGCGCTGGACCACCAGTAACATGACTTTTATGCAAAACAAGAAGTAGTAATCTCTTTGACGGCCTCATTTGATGTAACTGATTTACAATAGAATTAAGCTACAACCAAAAGAAATTATTAAGAACCATATCCATGCGATTCTAACTTTGAGGAAGAGATATATTACTGTTAAAGCTTATGATCAGCAACCCTCTTACCTGGGAAAAGTTGAAATTATGCCTATTAATAAGCCCCACATTTGCACCATCTATAACTGCATCAAATGGATCATGTCACTGAAGCCACTCCTGAATGAGTGCACCTTCTAAGTTAGTCAGAATGCCATTCTTTTTACGTATTAATCGCTTGAACCATACACAAGCAGCAAATATGGGCCTTTGACTAAGACATTGAATACATTTTCAACAATACAATTACAAGTACATTGATCATTTTCAAACAAGTCTCTCAGGCCTAGCAGTACCTTGGCAGCCATTAGTAGCAGACTGCTGTCTCAAACCCCACCCCTGCCAAAAAGAGTATATCGACATTTGATAAAATATTCATGTGATAAAGTAACAGAGATATGGAGTAATGCAGTCTACCAACATGTCCACTACTAGACATAAATCATTAAGATATTTATGGACAACAAGATGACAATCTAGTTATTCAAATTCCAAATTTGGAAGTAACATAAAGAAACAAGATAAAAATTATTGACAGCATTGTCCACTAATGTGTAAGAATCAACTATAGGAATCAATTCCAAAATAATATACATCTCAAGTAACTCCATGTGTTGAATTGCGGTATTAATCAATGAAGCATAAAGATAATGTCATACCTGAAACTGCATAAAATCAGCCTCAACCTCTCTTTGGCGTACCAAATTGGTCAATGAAGCAGTGAAGTTTTCAGTCTCTTTAGGATCAATATCAATGCTAACAAGCTTCTCTCCACACGATAGGCACACACCCATTTCATCCATTTGCATCCTCGTAACTCTTCAATTCCCATTTCCGAGCCACCCTTGTCCATGCCACCCCCTCCTCCGTTCACAACCTCTTCCCTCACCTTACCCACATCCCAATTCACCTCCCCAACCTCTGCAGCCCTTTCAGACTCAAACCAACGCTCCACAACCCCAGCAGTCTCTTCCGTGACCTGCCTCACCGTGACACGCAACCGGTGCAACATTTCATAAACTCTAAGCCTTTTAAAACTCTGGTTGACACACAATTAACTCAGTACTGGCCTATGCATGATGATGGAATAATATGTATAGTTTAATAAAACTAACAATTCAAGTCCAAGCACTTTGATGCCACATTGCATTGGATCGCCATACAATCACCAAAAAAACAAAAAAACAAAAAAAATTGATACCCCTCATAAAGCACCCAAAACCCTTGTTAATCACCGTTTGTGGCCCACATGCTAACCAATAAGAGATTTCATATCAATATAGATAACTTAGGCAAATTCCCAGCAAAAGAGTCAACGCCCCAAAAAAATTCCCAGCAAAGAGATTTCGTTACAATTCTTAAAGCCAATTGTTTATAATTTTAGTATGTTGAAAAAAACTGAAAATTGTTCCCATTCTCAAACAAAATCAATGTCAACATGCAAATTAAAAAACAATTGCAAACCCTATTAACAAAATGATAAGGAAATAAATTATTTTCCAGCTAATAATTGAAAACCCATAAATAAACTGATGAAGATCGATATTCTGTTGATAAAGGTCCAGCTTGTACATTGGCCACTCCTGCGGTGTTTCAGGCATTCCCGATCCTTCTCGTGACTGTTACACGATTTTGGTCCGTGAAGGCCTATTTTCAAGCTTAAGTGTGAAAAAGTGCATTTTTTGAGTTAGTTTTCATACCGTGAGTCCCGTGCCAGTTCTGAAAGTTTGCACAACGTACATTGGCCACTCCTGCGGTGTTTCAGGCATTCCCGATCCTTCTCGTGACTGTTACACGATTTTGGCCCCTGACGGCTTATTTTCAAGCTTAAGTGTCAAAAAAGTGCATTTTTTGATTTAGTTCTCACACCGAGAGTCCCGTGCTAGTTCCGTAAGCCTCCGAAACTTACCTTGGACCCTCCCGAGGTGTTTGGGGCATTTCCCGGTCCTTCTCGTGACTGTTACACGGTTTTGGCCCCCCCGGTGTCCTATTTCCAAGCCTAAGTGTGGAAAAAGTGTCTCTTTCCAACTTAGTTTTCAAACTGGGAGTCCCGTGCTATTTCTGTAAGTTTTCACAACTCACGTTGGTCACTCCCGAGGTGTTTGAAGTGTTCCTGGCCCTTCTTGTGACTGTTACATGATTTTGGCCCCCGATGGCCTACTTCCAAGCTTAAGTGTTAGAAAAGTTTATTTTCTGACCTAGTTTTCAAGTTGTGAGTCCCGTGCCTAGTCGTTAAGTTTTCACAACTCAAATTGGTCCTTCCTGAGATGTTCGAGGTGTTCCCCGGGCTTTCTCGTGATTGTTACACGAGTTCGGCCCGCCGAGGCCTATCCTCAAGCTTAAGTGTAAAAAAAGTACATTTTCCAACCTAGTTTTCAAACCAGAAGTCCCGCGCTAGTTCCGTAAGTTTCCACAACTTACATTGGTTTCTCCCGAGGTGTTGGAGGTGTTACACGGGCCTTCTCGGGACTGTTACAGGATTTTGGGGGGCCCTCGATGGCCTATTTTCAAACTTAAGTGTTTAGGAAGTGCATTTTTTGACGTAGTTTTCAAATCGAGAGTCCCGTGAAAAAAATGTGAAAAAAACCGATGGCCTATTTTCAAGCTTAATTGTGAAAAAAATGTCTTTTTCGACTTAGTATTCAAAACGAAAGTCCCGTTCTAGTTCCGTAAGTTTTCACAACTTACATTGGTCCCTCCCGAGGTGTCTGACCTGTTCCCCGGGCCTTCTCGTGACTGTTACACGATTTTGGCCCCCGATGGCCTATATTCAAGCTTAAGTGTGAAAAAAGTGCATTTTTGGACTTAATTTTCAAATTAGGAGTCCCGTGCTAGTTCCGTAAGTTTAGACAACTTACATTGGACCCTCCCGAGGTGGTTGATGTGTTGCCCAGGCCTTCTCATGACAGTTACCCGATTTTGGCCCCCAATTTTGGCTTGTTTTCATTCTTAAGTGTGAGAAAAGTGTCTTTTTGGACTTAGTTTTCAAACCAGGAATCCCGTGATAGTTCTGTAAGTTTCCACAACTTAAATTGGACCCTTCTAAGGTGTTTGAGGGGTTCCCCCGGCCATCTCGTGACTGCAACACGACATTGGCACCCGATGGCTAACTTTCATGCTTAAGTGTAAAAAAATGCAATTTTTGACTTAGTTTTCGAACCAGGAGTCCCGTGCTACTTCCGCAAGTTTCCACAACTTACATTGGTCCCCGCCGAGGTGTTTGAGGCGTTCCTCGGGCCTTCCCGTGACTGTTACACGATTTTGGTCCGTGAAAGCCTATTTTCAAGCTTAAGTGTGAAAAAGTGCATTTTTTGAGTTAGTTTTCAAACCGTGAGTCCCGTGCCAATTCTGAAAGTTTGCACAACGCACATTGGCCACTCCTGCGGTGTTTGAGGCATTCCCGATCCTTCTCGTGACTGTTACATGATTATGGCACCCGATGGACTATTTTTAAACTTAAGTGTGAAAAAAGTGTCTTTTTCGACATAGTTTTCAAACCGGAAGTGCCGTGCTAGTACCGTAAGTTTTCACAATTCACGTTGGTCCCACCCGAGGTGTTTGAGGTTTTGCTAAGGTCTTCTCGTGACTGTTACATGATTTTGGTGCCCGATGGCCTCTTTTCAGGCTTAAGTGTTAGAAAAGTGTATTTTTTGACTTAGTTTTCAAACCGCGAGTCCCATGCTTGTTCCGGCAGTTTCCACAACTTACATTGGTCCCTCCCAAGGTGTTTGAGGTATTCCACGGTCCTTCTCGTGACTGTTACACAGTTTTGGCCACCGATGGCCTATTTTCAAGCTTAATTGTGAAAAAAATGTCTTTTTCGACTTAGTATTCAAAGCGGAAGTCCCGTTCTAGTTCCGTAAGTTTTCACAACTTACGTTGGTCCCTCCCGAGATGTCTGAGCTGTTCCTCGGGTCCTCTCGTGACTGTTACACGATTTTGGCTCCCGATGGCCTATATTCAAGCTTAAGTGTGAAAAAAAGTGCATTTTTGCACTTAGTTTTCAAACTAGGAGTCCCGTGCTAGTTCCGTAAGTTTAGACAACTTACATTGGACCCCCCCGTGGTGGTTGATGTGTTGCCAAGGCCTTCTCGTGACAGTTACCCGATTTTGGCTCCCAATTTTGACCTATTTTCATTCTTAAGTGTGAGAAAAGTATCTTTTCGGACTTAGTTTTCAAACTAGAAATCCCGTGATAGTTCTGTAAGTTTCCACAACTTAAATTAGTCCCTTCTAAGGTGTTTAAGGGGTTCCCCCGTCCATCTCGTGACTGTTACACGACGAGCTTAATTGTGAAAAAAATGTCTTTTTCGACTTAGTATTCAAAGCGGAAGTCCCGTTCTAGTTCCGTAAGTTTTCACAACTTACATTGGTCCCTCCCGAGATGTCTGAGCTGTTCCTCGGGTCCTCTCGTGACTGTTACACGATTTTGGCCCCCGATGGCCTATATTCAAGCTTAAGTGTGAAAAAAAGTGCATTTTTGCACTTAGTTTTCAAACTAGGAGTCCCGTACTAGTTCCGTAAGTTTAGACAACTTACATTGGACCCCCCCGTGGTGGTTGATGTGTTGCCCAGGCCTTCTCGTGACAGTTACCCGATTTTGGCTCCTAATTTTGACCTATTTTCATTCTTAAGTGTGAGAAAAGTATCTTTTCGGACTTAGTTTTCAAACTAGGAATCCCGTGATAGTTCTGTAAGTTTCCACAACTTAAATTGGTCCCTTCTAAGGTGTTTAAGGGGTTCCCCCGTCCATCTCGTGACTGTTACACGACATTGGCACCCGATGGCTAATTTTCATGCTTAAGTGTAAAAAAAGTGCAATTTTTTACTTAGTTTTCGAAACGGAAGTCCTGTGCTACTTCCGTAAGTTTCCACTCCTTCCCGAGGTGTTTGAGGCGTTCCCCGGGCCTTCTCGTGACTGTTACACGATTTTAGTCCGTGAAGGCCTATTTTCAAGCTTAAGTGTGAAAAAGTGCATTTTTTGAGTTAGTTTTCAAACCGTGAGTCCCATGCCAGTTCTGAAAGTTTGCACAACGTACATTGGCCACTCTTGCAGTGTTTGAGGCATTCCCGATCCTTCTCGTGACTGTTACACGATTTTGGCAGCCGGTGGACTATTTTTAAACTTAAGTGTGAAAAAAGTGTCTTTTTCGACTTAGTTTTCAAACCGGAAGTCCCGTGCTAGTACCGTAAGTTTTCACAACTCACGTTGGTCCCGCCCGAGGTGTTTGAGGTGTTCCCAGGGCTTTCTCGTGACTGTTACACGATTTTGGTGCCCGATGGCCTCTTTTCAAGCTCAAGTGTTAGAAACTGCATTTTTTGACTTAGTTTTCAAACCGCGAGTCCCGTGCTGGTTCCGGAAGTTTCCACAACCTACACTGGTCCCACCCAAGGAGTTTGAGGTATTCCACGGTTCTTCTCATGACTGTTACACAATTTTGGCCACCGATGGACTATTTTCAACCTTAATTGTGAAAAAAATGTCTTTTTCAACTTAGTATTCAAAACGAAAGTCCCGATCTAGTTCCGTAAGTTTTCACAACTTACATTGGTCCCTTCCGAGGTGTCTGAGCTGTTCCCCGGGCCTTCTCGTGACTGTTACACGATTTTGACCCCCGATGGCCTATATTCAAGCTTAAGTGTCAAAAAAGTGCATTTTTGGACTTAGTTTTCAAACTAAGAGTCCCGTGCTAGTTCCGTAAGTTTAGACAACTTACATTGGACCCTCCCGAGGTGGTTGAGGTGTTGCCCAGGCCTGCTCGTGACAATTACCCGATTTTCGCCCCCAATTTTGGCCTGTTTTCATTCTTAAGTGTGAGAAAAGTGTCTTTTTGGACTTAGTTTTCAAACCAGGAATTCCGTGATAGTTCTGTAAGTTTCCACAACTTAAATTGGTCCCTTCTAAGGTGTTTGAGGGGTTCCCCCGGCCATCTCGTGACTGTTACACGACATTGGCACCCGATGGCTAATTTTCATGCT